TGATCTTTTTGGTGCATTTTCCTTCGATCATGTCAAACAATAAACTAAGTGTTAGTAGTGCAAGTGGTGGGTTTCGACTGGTAGTTTGATTTATATTATTCCATGTTAGACTTTCGACATAAGTCTTTGTGGATTTGAGGAGCCTCGAAGGAGGTTCCTTGTTCCGAATTACATACGTTAAGCCGTTTCCAAGCGTACTGCATGCGTGAAGAACACAGCATTTTTCAGACAGATGCCAGGCAAAACTCTAGCTACAATAATTCTGCAATCCCCTAATCCTTTCTTTCACTCAACTCCACCTTTTCAATCAACACGCCCACCTCATCAATCGATGTCCCTCTCTACCCCCCGCCACCCATGCAAATAACCGGTTTTTCTCTCAAAAGCTCTACCGACGACTGCAATGAAAAACGTGGTGCGGTGAAATTACGTGAATTCTGGATGCGCAGCGTAGTGGTGGTGCAATCGAATTTCTCGGAAATTTCCACTTAAAGAACCGGATTTTTTCGTTCACTGGCACGCCAAAAACAGCAGATGCGCTTCGTCGGAGGGCGACACCACTATGAAAGCAGCGAAGCGGTGAGTAGTGAGGAGGGAATGTGAAGAGCGACTCAACGTTGCCGAACGATATAAGTTGCAGTAGACAGAACTGTATCGATTGAAGCATTTCATGGGTGAGGCTTCAAATTCTAGATTCGAAAAATGGAGAAACGTTGGCATTGAGAGTGTAAGTGGCAGAGCGAGTGGCAAAAGAGGCTGACGTATACAGTACCGATTTTGCATCATAAAGTTCACAGATTCTCTGCAGTTGCAGTGCAGTCTCTGAAGTTTTGCGTATTACAGCAGGGTTGGTAAGAGAATCCTAAGGATGTCTACTATAGTCAGAGAAAGTTGAACCAAGATCAAAGAGTTTGCAAATCAACATTTCACTCTATTTTGATTACGAGTTTCTTATCTGTCATTATTTCTTTGAGTGTACTTTCTGTAATGCTGCAGGTGTGGGGGAAAAGGAGTTATGCTTCTTTCTTTCGACAAAAAGTAAAATGTTCCAAGCACACGATTATGCAAGATCTGCGGCAGAAAGAGATTTCTTGAGAGTGAGTGCAAAAACAAGCGAAGCGCACGGTCAGAGTGAGAAATTATATGAAGCTATGTTATGAAGGAAGCCTTTACCTTCTATTTTCATGCCTTGTTGAAGACATTTGGCGAAGCGGCATCGTGGGCACCGTTTACGACCTGCTTTGTCGACAGGACAGTTCGAGGATGCTGCGCACTGGTAACTCTGAAGCCAAAATTCGCGGTATTCCTACAGCTATAAGGGTAGACCGACAAACCTTCTTGTTTTGGACAGTCCTCTTGAAGAAACCCTGAATACGAAGTCTATACAAGTGCAGTTGTCGAAGATTTGAAGACCTACTTTACAGCTTTCACAAGTAAGTAGCCCATAGTGGTAGCCGGATACGCGATCACCACAAACTGGACATTGCTCTTCAAGTCTTGGCCTTGCCGATACCTCACTTCCTACCATATCCCACTATTTCTACGTGCTCTATAGGACTCTAGGCGCAACACACCGCTAACTAGTGGATCCGACACCTGTAGCACAAGTAGAGAAATTCTAGAAATTATTCGGCAAAGATGAATCATCAAAGACTTCGCAAAAGCTACTACGAGAAAACCTTGACGGGAGTAAGCGAAAACAAAATGTTGAAGACGAAGAACAGTGGTTCATAGACTAAGTGTAATGAATCTTTGAGAGAAAAAACTCTGGCGAGAAAAGAAAGAACAGCATAGGTGGGTATATGAGTTTTAGCGAGTTTTTAACAAGTTTCCGAATTGGAATTGGCAAACATATGCACAGCCATATCACACATATCCATACGTGCCAACAGCGTACACCAGAAAAATGATTCAGAGAATTAACGGCAAGTGAAGGACAAAGTACCGTGCAATCGTTGTAATCCAGAGTACTCGTACGTAACGTGCGTTGTACTTATTTATAAATTCGCAATTCGAAATTTCTTGGTTAGCTGGCACGTGCTGCAGCTCAAGTTGTTAGACGTGGTGCCAGTGCCGGTGAAGCGTGGAACTAGTGTCGAGTTCGGGCGGCTGCTAATAGGTAGGGCGGCTAAACCGGGTGCGACGTCGGTGGCGGCGATGGCGGGCGATGCTGGCCGCACTTCTTCATCCCCTCCACCCTCCCCTCCCTTCTTCATCGGGAATTCCAGCCCGTGCTTGGAAGAATCCTGCCAGTTATGTAGGGATCAAGACAGCGGTGCGAGGATGCCTAGAGGCATCAGGCTTGGAAGATATTGCTGAGGAATGCATTCATCTCAGAAAAGGGCGTCAACTGAGCACAGATGAATAATATCCTACAACTAACTTACAGAGTACAATCCTA